TGAACCTCAAATTTTCAGCTATTATAATTTGGATGATTTTATTGTTTCTGTAATTTCAATTTTGGACCACCCTAATGGTTTTGTGGTTTCCCCTATTTTTTATGATTTCCCGCCACCCAAGAAGAATTTCTTTATCCTGAAAGGTCATTGACATTTTATTAAGTCATTTCTACAATTTTTCTAATAAATATGAAACTTGAGTCATGAAATTCATGTATACAATTGTATAAAATATTAATGCATATAAATAAATAATTAATCGAATTTATGCTTAATCATAAAAATTATAATTATAAAATAAAATAGAAATTAATAGAATATTAAAATGCGATTATAAACGTAAATCATTTTTATTTTTTCTTTTTCTTTATGAATATAACAACGTCGACTGTTATGTTGATTCTCTGAATTTGTAAATAAATAAATAAAATAAAATAAAATATAAGAGATTATTTAATAAAACTAGAGATTATTTAATAAATATTTCATTTTGTTTATATTATTTATATTAAATTTTATTTTTTTTTTTTTAATTAAATTTCGAAATTTTTCATTGCAGAATGAATCGTATTTACACCAGACAGGTGTAGGAACCGAGGAATCATCGAAAAGCAAAGGACGAACTGGTTGGCCGCAGCATATGTGGGCCCTCGAATTGAAGCAGGAATCGCCTACGAACCAGATGCAATAAAATTACTGATCTCTATCTATTTTTGACGCAGTGGCTTCTGTTCTACTGTGATTATCAAGAAACGAATCAAATGTAAGGTTAGATCAAAATTGGTAGCGAGCCAGGAAATTTCAGAACAATTTTCGATTATTCTTGATTTTTCCTAGCCATTTATTAGATATTTAAAAAAATTTTTTTATTTTTCAATCAACGAAATATTATATAATAAGCTAAAATTAATTTATTTACATAACTATAAAATAAGATTAATTAGTGCAAAAATTGAAACAAATATAATATTAACCCTGTAATACTATATCTAAATACATAATCCTGATAACATTATATTTGGAAATTTTAATAAATATTTTCATCGCGAAAATAAATAGAATTTAAATGATCAAAAAAAAATTTTATTAATTTTATTAAAAAAATCAATTTTAATAAATTCAGATTTATTATCGAATAATTTTTATCTTTAGCATGATAAATAATTACCAGGATATTCAGATTTATACTGATATATATTGTATTTCAGGGTTAATAAAATAGTCTGATATTGTGTTAACTCAAATATTTTTGACACAAGAGTATGAGAGAGTAAAAAAGATAAATTTTTTATGTCTTTACATTCGTTTTTTTCCTCTTTTTTTAAATTTATTTTATTTGAAAATCTTTCATATTTTTCAATTATTTTTATTTATTACATTAAACAATTATAAATTCGTTATAAATTGAGTACAATCTTTTAAGTCACAATCAGAAGTAATAGATCATTGTTTTTGTTTAAACAAGAAAACGTCGATAAGTCTGTTGTAAAATACAAGGGATCATTTGTAAATACGCGTCTGTGAGTATAGATTATGCGTGTAAATAGTATTTGATTTATTTCATAATAATTTACTTCCCTTTATTAATTGTCTATATCTTATTTTTCATTGAATTTTTTATAATTTAAAGATTACACATTTGATAGTTCCTTCTTTATTTTTTGAAAAATTTTATTACTTTTATTATTATAAATTCATATAATTCAATTTATTTTCAATTTTATATAATTCATTATATAATTTTCAAATCAATTGTGAACTTGATCATGAAAGATTTAAAAAAAAGAAAATTCAATTTAATTAATGACATTATCTTGTAACAAAACAAAGTTAATGAAATATATTAAGAATTTTATTAATAAATCAGTGAAAAATGTAATAAAATGTAATATACGCTCAGTTGAAAGTTATATTATATCTAAATATATTCTACTCTATAGATCTAAGCAAAATGATCGGTTTAAGATGCTTGTAAACTTTTGTATAAACTACTTAGCGATGTATAAAAAGTCACTAGTAATAAATAGAATACACGATAATTCAATTATTTTCTATTCCTTTCAATAAATTGTTAAAAATCGTTGAAATAAATTTTTATTTCATCGAAATCTTTAACTTATCAAAAAATGTTTTTCTTAGTTAGGATGTGAAAAAACATTATTTTAGTAATAATAAGTTTTGGATTTTTTTCAATTTAATTGCGCCATTACTTGGTTGTTACTTTTCATAATTATTATACATATATATGTTCTATATGATGAAATATATCGTGTATTCATTTTAAGACATCATGAATGAACAAGCTTTAATTATACTTGATAATATGTATTTATTTAGTTTCATTATTTCGTTTGTAATCATTATGCTGGATATGAAATAAACGAACAGTTGTGTGATGACTAATGGAAACTAAATATTTGTGATATTTTTCAAAAGCATTTTTATCCGACAACGATTCGATGTTTAGACGACATGATAACTCTATAACGATGACATTGTCGATCTTGTATATAATAAATTATATCTTGTCATTTCTTATTATAAAAGAAGCAACATTGTCGAGAAATGAAAAAATTGTTGATATTTAAATGAAAATATAGAATTGGTAAATACTTGTTATGCTCTATCTACAAGTTTTATTTCAGGCTCAACAAAAAAAAAAGGATAATTAGATATAAATATCAAGTATAAATATTATATCTCAATATCATCTTATAGACGGACGAGTAACCCAATCTATATAATAAAAATAATATCATATAATATTGATAGGATTATAATAATGTAGATTATCATTTTATTTATCTACATGCACATAATTACATCTCATCACGTATTAATGAATATGCTACAAATAAAAAATAATTGTCATACTAATTATTCCAATGGAAGTTGGAAGAATACATTATTTAACTTAAAAAAAAAAAAAATAAAATTATATAATTGTAAGATTACACATTTTTTAGAAGATAAAGTAAAACTTAAAAAAAAAAAGTAGAAGAGGCACGTGCTATGCTAGTAGGTGTTAAAAACAAGAAGGTGAATCGGTACCGCTTTGTAAACTCTTCGGTTGACGAAGTACAGAACACCTCCGCAGCTCGAATCGACGATATAAACACTTCGCAGTATGTACCTAAGGAACTCGGTTATTCTCGGTAGCGGTAAAGAGATCGTTGCTTTCTTGTCAAAACGTTACCATGAAGATCTTGCTGTACCATTGGAATCATGTACGAAAGATATCTTATACATGTAAACAAATGAGTATAAATTATACATATTTTTTTTTTTGATACATGGAACACTATATAAATAAGGTGAAGATATATAAAAATAGAAAAAAAATATCTCTAATTTATGTTTCAATATGAAAAAATATTGAAATTAATCAGGATCATTTTATTATTTGAAAACTATCGGTTTTATCGGATAATTGATATATTTCACATTCAATGTATCTAATTTCGAATAGTAAGGGACAAAATCTTGATATTAAACTTCATATTATTTCATCAATTTGTGCCAGATGCTCACACTAGATCTCTCACAAAGATTTTATCTATATACTAGGGACAATAAAATACAATTAGACACAAAATCTAACCTCTCAATTATGATCGGATATTCTTTTTCATTTATTTCTCTTCCTATGTTTTATACAATGAATATGAAACAAAAATAACTAAAAAGAAAAGAAAAAATCTTTCTTACGTGGGAATATTTTCGAATACTATCACAAAGAAACAATCATGTATGTATACATGTTTGTACAAGTATATATGTACGTAAATGCGATACGCGTACCAAATGTGTATGCGAGACCGAGGAAAAAAGTATGAAGAGAACGTTTGTTTGCTTTGACAAGTATCGAAAGTCCATGTAACCGCGAGAATGTCCAAGTATGGTTGGCCACTTACGTTGCTTGTGAAAAATTGCCCTTAGCATGTGTCGCACAACTCTCTCCATCTAATTGCTTCTGTCGAGCGATACTCTTCTTTATTATCAAATAAGAAAATGAGAGCAAAGTTGACGTTCAGAAACATGATATATATATATATGAAAATGTTTAATGAATTAATTTTTTTTCAAATAATATCTTTTTTTTTTATTTATATCTCAAATAATAGAATTAAAGTAACTTTGAATTTTTAGAGGTTATAATATTTTATATATCATTTTGAAATATCTATTATAACTTCAATATCAACGAAATAAAAAATGATTGAAAATGGAATCGGAATTTAGATGTTAATAAATTTATTAGGTATTTTGGAATTTATCAAAGAGACATTAAGTATTGAGATATCGTAAAGGAGAAGGAAATGAGGTACAAATGCTCACTACAAATCTTGTTTCGAATTGTTTACTCTTCGAAACTAGTATGCGTTTTACGTAAACAATACTGTTCTCCTCTAAGATGGATTATATCTTCTGTCCGAGTGTTCGGATTTAGTATCTTGCAAATATTCGACGAGAATGCTTATTGTGATACATGCTAATATAAAAACGAAATAGGATGGATAAAAATTTAATAAAATAGAATGAAGTTACAAATCAATATATTATTTTTATATTCTATTTTTTAATATATTTCCTTTATCGATGGATTTTTTATTCTTTAAAAAAATATAATATATTTTATTTGCATTTTATAATATAAAATATAATATAAAAATATCAAAATTATTAAAATATTGAATATATTTTTATCATTATATCAAATGCTAAAATATAAGTTATTGAAATATTAATAAATTAACATGTATACACTAATAAAAATTCCCAATCTTAATCCAGTATTTACATAAAAACTAATTTTCTATTCTCATTCATAAACTATGCTTTTACTGTAGATCAAATCACGTGTTCTCCGAGACGATCGACCAATAAATGTGTTGATAGGCAGAGTCACAATCGAGCTTTTATACAAGCACTAGTTGACTTTCTTTCCTGCTTCATGGTCTCGTTCATCCCGAAATTGAATTGGTTAATTGACAGGTTTAATTGAGAACAAATTGTTCGCCTAATCGCCTTGGGCGCCAGCATCGATTCGTTACAAAGGAAGACGCCAGGAGGCTTTCCTGACGTTTCCCTATTTGTCGACGACACTTTGTCTTCTTTCTTCCTCTTTTTTATTGTTTTCGATGGACATCGATGGACTTTGCCAGTCATTTGATGTGTATTCATCTTTGTTTAAATTCTGTGAAATTAGCAATTGACTCTATTACAATGCTTTTAAACATCATTTGATAAAATTCAATGTCGAAGATTCAAACATCGTTTGAACAATTGAATATTGCATTTTATAAATTATTAATTAATATTAATCTGAATTATCATTTGAATGGATAAAGAATATACTTTTATTTGAGTATTATATATATACATATCTATTTGATTAACTTTTTTAAAATCTATTTCCAATTTAAAATTCTAATTCTATATTATATAATTTTATAAAAATTTACACAATATTTACTATATTAATAAATTAAAAATGAAAAATATTAATTACTTTTTTATTTAATCAGTAAAAACTTAAAAACTTGAATACTTAAAAACTTGAATATTTCTATTTCATAAAATGTTCCTTTTTTACTTCCATAGCCGATATATCAATTAAAACTGCTATTTTCCCTGTATTATAGGATAAAAAAAGAAAGAAAAAACAAAAGCAAAATAGTGAACGCACAGCAAAGAAATTGAGTTGTGAAACTCTCACAAATCCCGTTGGAATCAATAAATCTCTTCGTACGAATGTTTCCGGTTTGCGGTGACGTCGAAGAAGAATCGAAAGAGGAAAAGAAGGAACAACAATGAAGGAAGAAACTGAAAGAGATACGGTAGTAGTTGTAAGATTTTCTCCCAAGACGCAACCAGGATTCTCATTACGTATGGAAGAGCGTGGATCTCGATTGAAATTGAGACAAATCGCTTCGTGGGCCGTCAAGATTGGCCCCCTTTGGGGCTGGATGTTTTCTTAGTAGGATACGGATTCATTTCAAATGAAATCGGCATTGTCGAGGCAACGGGAAGAAAAATAACAGTTTAGTCCAGGGAAAGACAATGGGGATGAAAAAGGAAAAGAAAAGAACACGTAGGGGTAGCTTGCACCCCTATAAAACCAGGAGCTGAGAACGTATCAACATCATTCGCCGACAACTTCCCGTGATAACGTGTACTTGAACGAAGCGATGATCGGTTTCGCCGTATTCTCGTCTTTCAATCGTTTTACGACCATTTTTGTCTGCGTACTGCTCTGCGTGGTCTACTTGCTGTCATATGCTTCTGGGGAATACGGTATGTTCTACTGATAATAAATTGTGAATATAATAGAATATTAATTCCATTATACAGAAAGAAATGGGAAATAGGAGCAAATTTTTTCGCCTTTATAAATAGTAATATATAAAATGTTCGCGTTATATTACACGATATGGTGAATTTTTTTGATAAATAATGCGAGAAAAATGGAAGAAAAAAGTTTTAGTATTTGTCAATTTTTTTTCAATTCGTAATATTTTTCAATTATTATTTTTTTTTTTCTTTAATTTAATACTAATACATTTTAAAAGTGTATATTAAAGATGAATACAATTGTATATGATAATGATATTTACTACTATTTCATATATTTAAAATTCTATTTAAAAGATTAAAAATCATTTTTAGAAAAATTTTGCAAACAAATTGACATTCATTATTATGTTAATTACAAAAAAATAATAAAATTTTTTTTATACATTAGAATATTATAAAAAGAATATAGATAAAGATTTATATTAAATGTGTCAAATTTAATTAACATTTAAATGTTTTTCCTCTGCTGCATTACACATTGATGAATCGTAATCTTATTCATTAAGCTATTTAATTTTTTAATAGCATTCTAAATACAATAAATGAATTTTGCAATATACCAATATAATTAAAATTAACTTCTTCTTTTTCTTCTAATCCTTCTATAGATAAAATATAATATAAATAAAATATGTTTTTTACAAATAGATGGTAGAGATTCACCAAGTAGCTCGAATAATGACAGAGCACCAAGTAACGAGTTTGGTTCGTGCACCGACGGCAAGTGTATCAAACGTACTTCGCAGGATATCACTAGTGGTATGTGGTTTGGCCCCCGACTTGGACGAAGACGCAGAGCGGATCGAAAACCAGAGATTAATTCTGATATTGAGGCGCTCGCCAACGCATTTGAAGAACCACATTGGGCCATTGTCACGATTCCAGGTATATTTAAAATACATCTATTTATTGTTTCACGAATATATATCCATTATTCAGTTTGCGTTCATTTTGATGATGATTATTTTTTCTGGAAGGGAAGGAAAAAAGTGGCATGTTTCTTTTATAATATTCACCGAATAAAATTTCTTTTCAGAAACAGAGAAACGACAGATAACACGATTCACACCTCGTTTGGGAAGAGAATCGGGTGAGGAATATTTTTCATATGGATTTCCAAAGGATCAGGAAGAATCATACACAGAGGAACAGATATTTCTACCTTTGTTTGCATCACGTCTAGGACGTCGAGTACCTTGGACACCATCTCCCAGACTTGGACGTCAGTTGCACAATATTGTTGATAAACCTAGACAAAATTTTAACGATCCACGCTTTTAAGACTGGTTTGATGTTCTGGATGATTAATAGCTAATGATATAGTGTAATTAAGATCATATTAAGGAAATAAAGGACTTGTATTTATTTGTATTATAATTGCAGTATGATATTTAAGGTGTTTTTCTTTTTATTAATATTTTTGTATTATTTTACTCTTTTTTATTAATTGATTTTAGTAAATAATCAATTTTTGAAACTATGAATTACATTATAATACCAAAAAAAATATTTATTTTATCTTCGATGATTGATATTTGATATAGAATATTATTAAAATAAGAAATTCATTTAAAAAATTTTTTTAAAATCTCAAATATGATAATTAATATACATAATATAATAAAACATTAAAAAAAATAAACAAAACAGTTTTCAAATAATACTATAATATTTTTTAAATTTAAATAAATGCAATTATTTTATAATTTTGTGCTATAAAAATTATCATAATAAATAAAAAAAAAGAAATTTTTTTAAATTTTAAATGTGATGTAATTAAAAAAATAGAAATGGTAAAAGCATATGTGTTATTCTTGTCCGCTCTGATAGTAAATGGTTACTTGAGCAAGAAGAGACAGAAAGTTAACTTGTATCTGCTGCCTGTGTTTCCAAGCTTTATGGTTACGACCGCAGTCTATGCCGCCACATGGCCCATGATAGTTCCGGTCGAAGAGTTACACGCGTAGTTACGCTTTTCCTTTTGACTCCTTCCATGTTTCCTTGCTACGGGAAGGAATTTAATCCTATTTCGTTACATTTGTAATGTCTATCTGCGAAAAAATAAGATAATCCTACTTTCGTTTTTTTTTTTTTATCTTTTTTCTTTCAATTTAAAAAATAGCTCAATGAAGAAAATCTATTAATAGATATTGCTTTAAATAATTTTTAGGTTATTTTTACTTTGTTTTTCGTATTTGACTTTTTTGATATTTCATATTTATTTTGTTTCCAATAGATATAAAAAACTTCTAATTTTATAAATATTTTATTATTTTTTTATTTTTCAACATTAAAGTTAATTATTTATATATATTTATTCTAAAATAAAATAATTTCAACATTTTTATTTTTTAATATTTATATAATTAATTTAGAATATAATAAAATAATATGGAATAATTTAATTTAAAAATATATAATATTTGAATAAGAAAAATATGTACAATATATAAAAAAATTAAAAAAAAAAAAAAAGATTCTAAAGCTCAAGATATTAAATTTATTATGTATTATATCATTGCAAATTATCTTAGGTTATATATATGAACAATATATAATAAATAAAAAAACACGAATTGTTGTTTTGCAGCTTAGTTTTTTTGTTCTTTTTTTTTTTATTATTATTGTTATTATTACTTAATGCATTCACAAACGTATCTTTCTATGCATACAAGATTTAGAGATCGTTCACACGATTGCTCATATCATCATTTCTTACACTTCAATACTCATATTTCTAGGCAATGTATTACAACTACAATATGTAAATTATATATAATATATATATGTTTATATTTTTTTTTTTCATTTTCTCCATCTTTCTCTCATTGATTCATACATATCTTCTATCATACACATGTATATGTAACATACACACAAACATACATCTCTTTATCTTTTTTCATATAATAATATTTCATATAATATATTTGTATGCTATATATATATATATATAATATGATA